CTGCACTCCACCATATGGTCTTCTGCTGTCCCCCCATATATTCTCGGTCTCATGGCTCAGCTGTACCCACCTATGCATGCCCACACCATTCTCCAGATGTCTGCCTTCAGGCACCCATATAAACAATTAGCATCATAGATGCTAATGTCAGGAGGGCAGGAAAACCCTGATAACTTTCATTTACCTTTCAATGGGCAACGGCATTCCTTCTGTGAGGAGGCTCAATTGTGAGAAATAATTTAGAGGCTGATTTTCCTCCATCACTATTTCGTCTATTTATTTCGTGAGAAAGAAAATTCCCTGCTGTTGTTACTGGGTTCAGATCATTTGTTTTATAAATCATGGATTTCTAGAGCTGAAAGTTGGGTAGATGAATTTTAATGATAAGAGGCTTGGCTTGAATCTAGGACTTTCCCCTTGAGAACAGAGAGCAGGCAGCTGGGTTCGAGGAGCCTGGGTCTCCACCTCTTCCTTTCTGGAGGAGTGAAAGAATAAGTTGCATTTTATAAAGGGCTAAATGCTCAGTGCCGCTGCTCTCTTGGTTGGCATGTGTATTCTGCTGGGAGTGGAACCTCCTCAGGGCATGGGTGTTCTTAGCTCAGGAGACCCCAGTGGTAGCTGGCAACACCTCACCACAGCTATCCCTGTGGATGGTCAAACTCACCCAGCCTCATTCACAGGGTACTGCCCCGATTCACGGTACAGGTGTGTCTCTAACATGGCAGAGAAAACCAACTGCCTAAACGCTTATTTGAACAATCAGTTCCTTTTCCTATCTAACTTTACACCACTGCACCGACAAAGTTATTTTTCCCAAAACAAGATTTGAAAAAGCAAACCTCTTACTGAATTTCTGCTTTTTCTCTCTGTCTTTCACAAGTGGCACTTTTTTAAAATTTAAGCTTTTATGACCACGATAGATAATGTAGAACATGAAGAATGTGCTTTAAACAAAAGTTGAAGATGTTGGAGTTTCTGTCAAACTCTCAGATGGGAAACAGATAAGCTGCTGGAGATAAGATTTCATAGAATGTAATCTTCAAACAAAAACATTCATTATCTTGACGAGATGATAATCTGACAATGATCAGTGCAATAATTCACAATGTACTGAATTCTTTCTATGTTCTAGAAGTGCACATCACTGCCTGTTAGGAGCAAACAGAAAGGCAGGTTTTTAAAGGAGCACACCCAGATAACAGCGCAAAAGTGAGGAGAAACTCCTCTTGCGTTCTCTCAAGTCCCAAATGGTGAAGTTCTTCTTTTAAGGTAAACAAGTTGGGAAAGAACAGTGAGGCAATGTGATTTCCGAGAACAAGCGTTGCTAGTGGAGTCAGCAATCCCAAGCCTGGGTGCTAGCCCAGGGGTGCCTGACTTGGTGGCTCTGTCGTTATTTAATCACCATGGACTCAGTCCACTCACCCAGTGGCCATTCCATGGTTTGGGGGATAAGTCAACTCCCACACAGTTCGATGAAAGAACAGCTGCCATTCATTGAGCACTACTTGTGTTCTGGTACCAGGTTTCTACTAGTTACTTCTCCTGTTTGAGCTGTGAGCAACCTGGGGGATGTGTCTCACTCACTATTGTATCCCTAACAACTAGCTTTGGGTCGGGCACTGAGTAGATGCATCCTAGAAAATCTGCCTATTCTATATACGTGCTGAGCAATGTATTTTTTCATTCAACTTCCACACAGACTGCAGGAGAGTGCCTCATTTTAAAACTGAGAAAATGAAAATTTAGAGGAGTTGATAGTGGTTAAGTGAACCCTGAAGCTCAGACTGACCACTGCCAGGTAGGGATTCGAACTGTGCTTGAGGTCTCCAATGACACCTTCACCTTCCCAAGCTGCTTCGTCAGTGCTAAACCAGGCAGACTAATGACATGAGAAGGAAAACAGCAAAGCAGAAAAAAATTACAGAGAGCAAGCAAAAGAGAAAGGGGAACATTGAGATTGAATTGTGGATAGGGACAGAGACCATATTATTTCCAGTCCTTAAGACCTGTCACAATGGCGGTAATTCATAAATGCTGACATTGCAGGTGTTTCAGGAACTGCATTATTGAAGGGATAGAATAGACATGTCTAGGCCTTAGAGTCTCCAAGAGTACCTGGCCTGTTTCTGGGTCCATTAGAGTTATGAAGTGTGTGCTCTCTATGACACCAGGGCATCCCCCCTCACCCATCTCCTTTAAGCCTATATGTATAAATAGAAAGAAGTCTATTTGGCCAGACTGACTGGCTCCCAGATGGATGGAAAACCAGGGGCAGATCAATGTCACAGCTGATCTCCAGGAAGTTTATAATATACCACTTTACTCTTCAAGATCACAGGCAGTATAATAGCTTGGACTTGGACCATTCATTGTTAAAAGCTTTAACAGAAAAGCCTCTCTAGAATAGCGTTGTGTAACAGAAGTAAAATGTGAGCCACAAATGGCAGCCACACATGTAATTTTAAAATTCTGAGTGACCACAACAAAAACAAAGTAAACAATCCAATCAAAAAATGGGCAGAAGAACTTAAAAGACATTTCTCTAAAGAGGAAATGCAAATGTCCAACAGGCATATGAAAAAATGTTCAACATCCCTCATAATCAGGATCAAATCAAAACCACAATGAGATACTATCTTACACCAGTAAGAATAGTCTATATTAAAAAAACTAGCAACAACAAATGTTGGCGAGGATGTGGAACATCTCCTACATTGCTGGTGGGAGTGCAACCTGGTCCAACCACTAGGGAAAGCTGTGTGGAGGTTCCTCAGACTACTAAAAATGGAGCTACCATATGACCTAGCAATTCTACTCCTAGGAATCTATCCAAAGGACACAAAAACATTATTTCAAAAGGATACCTGCACCCCTGTGTTTATTGCAGCACTATTTATAATAGGTAAGACTTGGAAACACCCCAAAAATAGATGACTGAATCAAGAAGATGTGGTATATATACACAGTGGAATACTATTCAGAAATCAAAAAAGATAAACTAATACTATTTGCAGCAACATGGATGGAGCTAGAAGAGATTATGCTCAGTGAAATAAGTCAGAAGGAAAAAGAAAAATATCAGATAGTTTCACTTACAGGAGGAATATAGGGGAACCAAATAAGGCATCAGGGGAAAAAAATAATAAAAAACCCACAATAAAACAAAATAAACAGACAACTATAAATTGGAGACATTCTGCAGGGGAAGGGGAAGGAGAGGGATTGGAAGGGGGGAGTGAGGAGCACAGGAGACTGTGGTGATGGTGCTTGGGTGAATTGGTGGAGGAAATTCTATGGGGACCCCATCTGAGGGGGAAAAAAGCAAACATTATAGAAACATGAATAATGATGTAAAATATATGTAAATAAATTATTAAAAAATAAAATTCTGAGTGACCACACTAAAAGTAAAGAAATACATAAAATTAACTTTAATATATAACCCAAAATATTCAAAATATTATAATTTCATCATGTAATAAATATGAACAGTATTAGGAGATATTTTATGCTCTTTATTCATTTTGTGTCTTTGCTCTGTCATGTATGTCAAACTCACAACACATCACAACTGTGCCACATTTCATGTGTTCGGGAGCCACAGGCAGCTGTCTGGTGGTTACTGCATTGGACTGTACAGCTCAGGAACACAGAGATTATGGAAGTCCACAGGGCCTGTGCAGAATGTGTCTGTGTTTATTATTGTTCACGAGCAAGTGAAGCTGCTGAGAAGAAACCTTTCAACAGTTATTTTGTAAGGTCTATTAGTTTCTCAAAGTCCTACAAACATAGAAATAGTCTTTCTACTGAAGTGAGAAGTAGGGTATTCCAGATTCTTTTAGCACTCATTTTGCATGTAATTACTGAGCCAAACTCTGTGTACAATTGAACCATAAACTTTGCGTTTGTGGCATGGAAGCTGGAATTCATGCACCCAATCTGTCACTTGTCATGGGCCTTTACATGTGAAACTCATCACCCTCAGCTTCCTTACTCCAAATAGAATGTCTGGAGCATATCAACAGCTCTTAGCCTTGGCTGCATATTAGAACCACCTGGGGCACGGTTTTTTGTTTTTTTGTTTTTTTTGAAAAATACCCTGGCTTTCCTGCAGGTAAACTGAGAAGCACTGACCTAGTGTAAACCAAATACGCAATGATTTTTTTTTAAGTTAGTGAAAATAGAGCTAATCTGCCCCCAGGAACCAATAAATATATGTTTTGCAGCAGAGAACCTTCTATCAATATGCCCAGTGGTAGAAATACTGAAATTTGAAAGTAGGATCAGAAAATATTATTCTACGAGACGTAAAATAAAAACAATACATGTGAGTAGAGGTAATCAGCCATCTACAAATACAATTACTCAAATAATGACAAAACATTATTTCAAAGTGTTGATATGACTGGGTAGGCAGAATGTTAAAGAGATCCCCCCCAAGATTTACTATCTGATTATTCACTCATTTAGGTAGTACTTTGAAGGAACTGTTCAGATATAATTCAGGTTAGTAATCAGTAAAACTGATTTTTTAAATTGGGAGATTATTCTGGATTATCTGAGCAATTAAAAGTAATCCATCAGCCTGAAAAAGCAGAAGAAGAAGAAGAAGGGGCAGAAGGGGGAAGTCAGAGAGATCAGAAACTTGGGAGGAGCAGAGCAGCTGTTGCTGGAGGGGACCACATAGAAATCATGAGATGCAAAGCCTTTAGGAGCAAAAACTGACTCCTAGTGGGCAGCCGGCAAGGGAATGGAGAGGGTGGTCCTGCAGGGCAGGGAGCTGAACCTGGCCAGCGGTTGAAATATTTTTGGAAACAAATTCATCCCCAGAGTCCCCAGAAGGTAATGCAGCCCTTAAAACCATTGAGTTGACCTCGAAGCAGAAAATTCAATTGAGCCGGGTTATGCCCAGACTTCTCACTTGAAGAACTGTGAGCTCATAAATGGCTATTGTTATAAACCACCAAATCTGTGGTAATTTGTCATGGAAGCAACAGAAAACTAAGACCATTCACTATGGAGGCTGAGGATGACTTCCCAGGTAACCAGGGTCACATGCCACTAGGGAGAGGGGCTTTTCAGAAGAATACAGACATTTGGAGGCAGAAGGAACTTTACAGATAATCCAGTCCAATTAATTAATGATTGATGAATAGTGAAAAAAAACTAGATAGTAAATAATTTATGGCTCTGTAGCCTCCAACCACCCTAGGCCCAGAGTGATTAGATGGGCCAACAAAAATGTGTTATTATAGACAGTTACAATAATCTCTCAGAGCTTGGAATGCTCTCCCCTGAAGTCATTCAGTTCCCTCTATTCAACTCAACAGTTGCCAAATAATCTTCTGATTGTTATTTTGTTTTGTGGGGTTTGCTTTTTTCCTGGGATATGAATACAATAACCAGCTGAAATGAAATAGCTTAACAACCGAAATGGAGAATAAACAAATACACTGGCATTCTGGTGTGTTGGTCCACCTCTTGTGTTTGGTTAGATTGAATTGGGCCCCTAGAATCTGATCACCTCTGGGTCAATTTTTTTTTTCTTTAATACATAAACCTGGACATGAGATGGTCCCAGGGAAAGTAAGAAAGCCTGAGAAATCCTGTCTAAATTAGTTTTCTGGCCTTGCTTCTCATCTTAATCTCAGGTCTAACCAGGAAATTAAAAAATAGACAATGTAGCAATGGAAAAGTAAATCAAAATCAAGGTCAAGATCTAGGACAACTTAGGATAGGGAGAAGATAAGGGCAAGAAGATGTACTTATGAAAGAAAAGGTGGTGTGCCAGGACCATTTGTAACATTTCCTTGTAAATCTTGGCTTCTCAGAACTTGTTTTCAGTCCTTCTGAATAAACCATTCAGTTCCCAGAAGCCTTCATCTGACACCCTATGGGATCACCACATCTTACAGGAAATTGTAAGTCAGGTACCGACCATGTTTCTCCTAATCAGTTGACTAGTGGATGATGGTAACAAAGAGCAGGTTGAGCCAAACCCTGAACCACTATTGATCCATAGAGACTGTCCACCCATCAAAAAATCAAAGGAACAGACATTTTAAATGCTTTCCTGATGCAAACTGTTCTAGTGAACTCAGCTATTTCACATCTTGCAGAACACTGTAATCAATCACTTATCTTCCCATCCAACCGAAAAGAGATCCACATTCATTTTTCACTTTTCAACCACTTGTGATCATGTTACCAGTTAAAACTTTAGTTCCACCTGAGAAAAATTTTCATCTGAGACTGGACCCCAGCATCCATACATTTGATCTTCAACACCATGGAAATGATGGCAAAAAGTGAAGCTAATTCCATACAGGCTTTGTGGATGCCACCCCCACTCCATTAAGACACCAGGAACTATAAATCCCAGGATCCCCAAAGGGAAGTGGTGAGGACCTAAGGATGGAGTTAAGCAGCCATTTTTTCTGTTTGTAAATAAAAACCAGCCATGTTAGTGGGGTCTCGGACACTTGGCTCGGGCTCTTGGCCAGGCAGGTTTGGTCTTGGCGGGTCATTTGGGACTCCAGGTCGGCAGAATGGGCAGGACACATTTAAGAATTTCTCTCCCTCTTTTCTCCCTGAGTTGTACATTTCCTCATTTACCTTTCCCTTGTAAATAAACCTTTTGTTAACCTTTAAAAAAAAATAAATAAATAAAACTTTAGTTCCAAAAGAAGAAAAAAAGCTACAGGGAATCTCTGGGGTGGCAGTTACATAGAGTATCCCCGAAATACTCAAGAATCAGGAGGCAGGTGCCTCAGACATCAGGAAATAATCATCTCATTGCCCATAAGCATCTGCAATCTCTCCCATCCACACTGAACTCAGAAGCTCCCACCTGCTCCCACCTGCTCCCTATCTAATGCACTAACAATCGCATCTCTCATATTCCTGTCTTCTTTACTAAGTTCTTCCAGTTACCATGGTTGGTCCATCCCCTCTTACATTTAACTTGTCACCATCAGGGGATGATGCCACTGCAGCATTCTCTCAGGTGTGTTCCTCCTCCTTTGATCTAGCCCCATCAAGGTCTTTCTTCCTTTACCTTCAAGGCTGCTGCCAGACAAACCACAAATCTTTCTCCTCTTCAAATAACACTCAGATCCTCTGTGAACTTCTACATTCCTCCTGAGATTTAGCAGTTCACTCCTGCATACCTCCACGCTGATTTTTTTAATGTCTACCATAAAATCTGCTACATATGGAAGTCCCGAGATGATGAACCCCCTGGATGTGGATAAATTAGTTCTCAGTGCCTGTGTTGCTGTCTGTAAGGTTGCTCAGGGAGACACAGACTCACTCCATCTGTTTATCACTCTACCCACCACTCAGTGCCTCACAGCATTTGATGAGCAATGAACAGAGATGTGCTCTGTGTGTGTGTGTGTTTATGGGGGTGTTGCTGGTGGGTGAAAGGTAGATAGAGGCACTAGCCATACTCCCCCTTCTCCAAGAATATCCAGACCATCATCTAGCTGTAGTTTCTTGATCTTTAGGGAAAGCAAGTTTGGGTAAAAGAGATTCAAAGGTAATCAAGATATGGCTGAAGTCTGGGAAGCCATAACATAATCTGAAAGCACTGGCTATAGGTACAAGAATATTTCATAAAGACAGGGAAGGTTACAGGTGAAAATTCTGCCTGGGACCCACCTGAATGTTAGCTTATGCTTCCTGAGTGCAAATTATCTCTGTTGACTTTTTCCAAAGGCACCAACTCTTTAAATGCTCAGAAAACTGGCTCTTTGTTCAGAGAACAAACTTTGAGAACCCAAATGCTATCATTTTTTAATTTTTTAAAAGATTTTATTTATTTATGCATACAAGAGCTGGGGTGCAGGCCAGAGATGTGGGGGGTGAGAGGATTCACCAGAGACAGAGTGGGGAGCAGAACAGGAAAATTGACCGAAGTACACTACTGAGGGGAGCAGCGGGCGAGGCAGGAGAGGTCTGCTTCGCCATGTGGGTTGCTCCCTGGCCGGCCAGGGATCGAACTCGTGCTGCAGAGGCTGCGGATTGCTTCATAGTGCGGTGCTTAGCCCCTTGCGCCACCAGGGAGGCCCCCCAAATGCTATTTAAAGGTGATCAGCCTATAAAAGGGTAATCCCCAGAGAATCTGGAAACTCCCCTTTCCAAGACAAGGAGGAAGGCAGTCTGAGATTTTGCCTAAGAAGAATATTATAAACTACAGGATAAAAAAAAGCCTTGCTTACAGTAGAAAGGAGTCAAGCAGCAAAGTAGAAGAAAGAGGGAACACTGAAATGGGAGAAGGAGGGAAATAATTGGTTTCAGCAATGTCAGATTTACATTTAAAAATGCAAAAGCAAGTTAAAATAAGGAGAGACCTCACTCTTACCATTTTAATCAAATTTTACAAGAAGGGAACACTTACCCATTGTCTGGCAGATATTCCTGAATTGGAGGCTGGATGATTTCCTCCAGGCTTTATTTGCAAGAACTTTTAAAATTTCCCTTTCATTCAGTTATATATGCAAAGCAGGTCACATTACACCAATATGGTTAAATCTGGCAGAGGGGGTGCGGCCAAAGGCGGAATACAGTTCAAGTTGCTTTAGAACTAAATCAATTAGTTATGTAGTCTCTTTCTTTCTCTACCTTTTTCTAACTATAAATGCACAATATTTGCTATGTAAAACTGTGATAAAAATACTAATGTACTTTAGTAATACATTAGTGTAAATGTATAAAATAATATAAAATAAATTCCAGATTCCTTTTTGGTCTTTAATAAAATTTCTAAAAAAAGAATTGAAAACAGACTCCATACAAAAGTTGTTTTAAAGGTTCATTATTGATTTTTTCTGTTTAATATTAGCATCTCTTAAGTACCTGCCAATTACATTGCCACTTTTTCTAGGAAATTAAACTTTCGGCAATTCTTTGTTGACTCCAATGAAATCAACCTTGCTCAGCTAATATTATCTGATTCAATTGAGAATGAAGTCCTGATATGAATGGCAGACTAATGGGAAATGCTTAAAGTCTGATATTGCATGATCCAGGAAGATTCCATTAGCTTAGAGAAGTTTCAAGTAAAAGGACAGGGAACTTGAAAAAATCATAGAAAAGTCCATGAAGGACCCACGGTGTATTAAGAAGGAGACAGTGAGAATGTCTTGGCACAGAAATAAAGACCTGGTATCATTTCAGCAACACTGCTCTACCATGTTGGCTAAAGGAACAGAATACCCATCCCTAATTCCCCAACCACCCCCAAACCAAAACCAAAACTGATCATCAAGTAGAATGGCTGCATACATTAATATTCCATCATATTCCTTATCACTGGCCATTCAATTCAGTGATTTTCAAATCGTGTGTCACAACCTTCTAATAGGTTGTAAGAACCATTTAATGTGTCTTGGCTTGTTTAGATGAATAGACTGGTGCTACAGACTGATGGGCTGTGTCTGCCCCAGTGTGCCCCTCCCCCACTTCTGTCCAAACCTCATCTCCAAAGTGATGGAGGTGATGGTGACATGAGGGTGGAGCCCTCCTGATGAGTCTGTGGTCCCAGAGAGTTCCCTCCCCCCTCCCACCATGTGAGGACATGGTGAAAAGCCAGCTGTCTATGACCCTGGGAGTGAAGCTGTTACAGGGCAACCCCAATATAAAACAGGTTGCTTGACTATGGGTCCTCACCTGCTCCATTAAAAGGGACTGACACTGCAGGCACACACAAAAGGTCAACAAAGGTTTATTTACAAGGCAAAGGGAAATGAGGAAATGTACAACTCAGGGAGAAAAGAGGGAGAGAAATTCTTAAATGCATCCTACCCCTTCCGCCAGCCCGGAATCCCAAATGACCCACCGAGACCAAACCTGCCTGCCCGAGAGCACAAGCCAAGTGCCCGAGACCCCACTAACTTGGCTGGTTTTATTTACAAACAGAGAAAATGGCTGCTTAACTCCGCCCTTAGGTCCCCGCCACTTCCCTTTGGGGATCATGGGATTTGTAGTTCCCAGTGTCTAGATGGAGGGGGGTGGCATCCACAAAGCCTGTAGGGAGTTTGCTCAGAGCATCCTTTCCCCTACAAACCCTCACCAAGCATGAATCTGCTGCACCTTAATATTGAGTCCCCAGCCCCCCAGGCCGGTGAGATATGGGTTTCTGTTGTATGTAAGTCACACAGTCAGTGGTAGTTTTGTTATAGCAGCCAGAACAGACTAAGGAATAGAATGGAATGAAATGGAGAAGAGAGGGGAGAAAGGAAAGGAGCAGGCAGTTTCCTTATATGAAACTTTTTTTACATTTTAAAAGGACAGGCTTCTTAGGAAAAGGAGAAAGAAAAAGAGAAATGCTGCACAGTCGCCAGTGCGCAGGGGAGCTCCGTATGAAACTTTTAAACCCATGGGTATGCCTACTGGCTCACTATGCAGTATTTTCTTTTTTTTTTTTTTTTAAATTATTTATTTATTTATTTATTTATTTATACAAGCACTGGGTACAGTCAGAAGCGTGGGAGGGTGAGAGAATTCACCAGAGCCAGAGCGGGGAACAGTACAGACAGACTGATGAAATACACTGCTGAGGGGAGCAGCGGGCGGCAGGAGAGGTCTGCGTACCATGTGGGACCCTCGCTGGCGGCCGGGGATCAAACCGGTGCTGCAGAGGCTGCAGGAAGCTCCGCAGCCCAGCACTCAACCGCTGCGCCACCAGGGGAGGCCCTATGCAGTATTTTCTTATGATGGATAGCAGTCGAAAAGCTTGTAGGTCACTGATACAAACGTTTTTAGTTTTTCAAATACTGTAAATAATGGTGCAAAATTTCTTTTGCAGAGGAGGGGATTTGGCCTGTGTTATCATTTATTGCCTAATGGTTGATTCCCAGCAGTCATATTGCTGTATGAAAGGGGAAGAACATTTATGAGATTTTTAAAATATGTTATCACTCACTGCTTTCAAACTGCTGGAGTTTAGAGTCAGACCAAACCAGCAGAGAATTTCAAGTTCCTGTATAATTATAAGCAAACATTTTCTGTCATTGCTAAAAGTGACAAATGATTTTCCATCATTTCAATTTACGTTTATTTGATCATTTGAAGTTAATTCTTTGAAAAATTTAATGTGAATATGAATTACTTATGTATATACTTCCACTTTTTGTTGGGTTCCTCTCTTTGTTGGAGTGCCTACCTTTTTCCTGTTCCCTTTTCCTCATACATATTTTTAATGAAATATTCCTATTATTTCTCTAGGTATGAAGGTATAGCGAAAAGGAAAAGTGAGAGAGGGCATTTTAATCAGCTTGATTTTCCCAGGTTGGTATCAGGTTACCTTTAGGCTTTTAACCTTCTTTTGAGACCAATGCTAGATTTGGCTTTAAAAGTAACTTTGAAAATAACCAATTCCATTTATTGTCGCTTCCTTAGTACATTAATAACAATAATATGAAGCCAAGTTGTCAGAAAGTGCTGAATTTATATCCATTCTCAGAGTAAAAAATAACAAGCCCACACAAATTTACACGGATAGAAGTGGAGACATCTGCCAACTTTGCACATGTAGGGCATTCATCCTGCAAGGCACTGGGCTGGGGAGCGGGCATCTAGAATAGTTACTCAGCTGAGTTCACACTGAATCTGTGATTGCCACTCCCGCATCCACCCTATCCATGCTTGTGGCTCAACAGCTGGCCCGAATCAGACTTGTCTGATGAGACAGGGGAGCTTTCTCTGTCCCAGTTTCAAGGCTGAGGAACGTTTTCTTCAAAGATTCCAGAAAAAAGCCAGAGTAAACCTTCCAAGAAGAAAAGCAAATCATATGTGATATTGCACGGGACTTATTGCATAAGACTTCCTGGAGGTTTGATTAATGCAAAAAAAAATAAAAGTTGTATTTCTCAGTAGCCTTCAAGAAGCATGCTAATTTAAGTGCTTAAGTAGGACAGTAGACATGCTATCTGATTTAATGGCACAATGATTAATCAATGGTTCTCATCTCTCTCTCTCTGGAAGTCACAAGTACACCAACAGGAGTTTGCTACCTGGATCATGGAGTCTGGCTTAGTGACCCTGAACTGTAGCAAATGGCCTGGAAGGTATGACTCATTTTAGCCAAGTGGATCATTGTGAAGTCTACTGGCAATATCCATTAAGACACAAGCAAATCGGGCACAGCGGTTGAGCACTGGGTTGCAAGACTGCCCACAGCCTCTGCAGCACCAGTTCGATCCCTGGCCACCGGCGAGGGTCCCACCAAAAAAAAAAAAAAAAAAAGACACAAGCAAATCATTTCACATAGTACAATGTGATTCAGCTGATGAAGATACATTAAAATAATAATATAGTAACCATAAATCAGCAGCCAGAAGCACAAGAACATAAGTGATCCAGGGTGAGAGCATCATACATCTGTGGTCATCTCAGTTCCCACATGTAGACACACTAGTGCTCCAGACTCACAGTCTCCAAAATTTGCAGAGAATAACCGGAGAAAGTCCACAACTGGCTTTCTTTTTCTGCAACTAATTATGCAGTAACTACTGAGCATCAACATGCAAGTCCTGGCTGAAATTTCCTTAGAAGCAGAATCAGTGACTTGAATAATTTTATTTAAAAAAATAATTATTTCAAATAGGTCTCCTTTTATGTTTCAGTGGATGCAGAAGTATTTCCTTTCTATATCTATTCTACATGCCATACAGTAACATCCTTCACCAATGTTTCCCGAAGAGTTGATCGGAGCAGCTTCAACTCTTTGAACTGTTTATCTCGAAACTCTCTCTTTAGCTGTACTTTTCATTGAAAGAGGTGAAAAACCAAACATATAGGTTACTTACTGTGTTCCAACGATCTATCTCTGAAGAGGACACAGCTTGTGCAAAACTGACATGCCTTGCATGTTAATAAAAGATTTGGCACTAGTAGTAACTTCCATAACCCTGACTGAGTTGCACCAGTACCTAGAAACTTAAAAGTCTGTGGCTTTACTTCCAATTCCTTTTTCCTGCATGAGAAAGTAAAGTCTTCTTATTCTTTGAGTTCTAACAGGTCCCCATTACAGAGCAAAAAGACAAAGTAGGCAGTGGATTAGACAAGAACACAACAGTTGCCATGAATTACATCCATGTTTCATCTTGTCCTTTTAACTAAATTGGTGATGTGAATTACTTTGTAAACAATGTGGACATTTTCTTCAGTAACAATAATTTCAGAGGTAAGTGCCCCTATTCTTTCTTGATGTTTGTCTGAGTCTTCCTCATCAGGCTTGATTTTTGTCACTTAACATTTCTAAAGCTAAATAGCCATATGATAATTTTTCTTCTTCTATTGGGATTTGAATTCAGTTGTGAAAAAACACACTCTCTTTCCCTTTAAGGATAAGTATATATTTAACCATGACAAAATGGATCCAGGGAACAAAGGTAGGGAAGATGGGCTACAGAGTCCCTCCAATTGTTCATTTTCCTTTTTTGGTCTGGAGAATGAATTTTGGATCCATTTTTAGTTAGTAGTGCAGTATTTAAAAATCACATATCCTCCTCCTATCCCCTATTATAGATCTTAGATCTTAGGGATGGAAGGGATGAAAGGAGTGAATGTATGTCATAAACCCATCTTAGGCAAATAGGAAATTTCTATTGCATACCTGAAATCTGCTGAAGCTTCAGCCCCACAGGAACTAAGTGATCCGCCAAGAGTTAAGTGGTGTCCATGACAGATATGTGACATGGGAATATGTGATTTTTAAATATTGCTCAATTAACTAAAAATGGAGCCAAAATCCACTCCCAGGACCTAAAAAGAAAACGAACTGAAGATAGAGGCTTCCATTATACGCTGTGTGGAACATTCACTCTCATGCAGGCAGTTAAATTCAACTTGGCTGGACAGGTTCACCATCAGGACTCAGATGTCGTGTGGTTCCACAGTAGGATATGGGCCAAAGTTTCCTTTACTGTTGGTCAAGGCACACAGCCCTGCAATTTTTAATGTTCCAGATAATAATCAGATGGCCAGGATTTTACAAGTGCTGATCTACAAATTTGATTATAGGGCTCACAATAGCTATCAGCTGACTGTGATCGGCAACAACCCCAGATATTGTTCCCAATGCCACATTTGGACCATCCAGACTATTAAATGAAATGTCATTGAAAAAGCCAAACTTTTACTGTGTTCAATACTACCTGAACTACCCTCTAGCGTCCCTATATTTCTCCAGCTCTTTCTCCTTTTCTCTTAGCTCTCTCTTTATCTTGTATGATCCACCAAGTCTTCCAGGTTTACCTCAACTGTCTCTTACTTCTTAGTCCTTGAATAAGGTGTGATTTTTCTGCATATGAGATTTCTTTGTAGTCTCCTTGCTACTCCCACAACCTACAATAGACTCGCTATGCCAGTGAAATCCAACTTTTCATTACCAAACTATAAATTTCCTTGGGACAGTAAAGTCTTGACAAATATATTTGGTTAAACAGACTCTATTTAATATTGTGAAGGGTTCCTCATAAATATGATCCTGTGGTTTATAAAAGAAAATAAATTAAAAAATTATCCAGAACTTGTCAGCTAGCTTTCTCATTGCTCAATGCCCAAAGGGAAATAGATCTAAGACTTCAGAGACAGACCTCATCTTTGCCTCCTCTATTATCTTGCATAATGCCTGGAAAATTATAGGTCCCAATAAAATGTTCTTTTTGTCCTCCAGTAAATGAGCCCTGGTTGAATAGAAGCACAGCCAACCATTTCACCACAAGGTGTACAATCCCTGGGCTGACACTCTTATAATGGGAGAAATAATCTGGGAGTGAGAAAAGTTGCCCAGCCAACAACCACAATGACAACCAACCTTGGCAGCTGAGAACAGTGAGGATTACACACCCATTTAATTTTCTAAATGAGCTGGGAGTAATGGTGGGGGCTTTGACTTGTCATTTCAAGATCAGAGAAAATTTGTTTTTATTTAGTATTTTTATGTTGATGCCATAGTCAATTGTTGCCATAGTCAATTGTTGCCAGAATGAAACAAGTGGCAAAATAATGGGAAGAGCATTCTGCTAAAACTGAATTTATCTGTTATTTACATGGTTGCTTTTAAGCTTCAAATAGAAAATGTCTTTGATCAAGATATTTCAACAGACTGCTGAAAATGGAAAATATCTGTGCCATTTCTTCTGGTAAGTACTAACATGCATAAATTTCTTACATAATGGAGGAGAAAATTTTTTTGATATATTAATGTTTTTTTCTTGTGTTGACAGAAATTTGGCAGTCAACCTGACACAGAATGGCTTGATCAACCTCTAGCCTTTTTTTTTTTACAAATCAGGTCATCTGTGTCCCCTTAATAGACTAGTGATAGGGCAATTTTCCTATGTGCAATACAAAAACTATGGAACAATGGAAGGTTTCCTTTGGCCTAGTGGTTGTGTACAAAGTCCCATCTATATTCCCCTTAAAATGTCCTGCTTATAATAAACTTATAACACCCCAAAAGTCAAACTAAGATAAGCCACAACTTTAACCTTTCCCTTGGGTCAAAACATTAAATCTGGAAAATGCAAATAAATCTTTCAAAATTATCTTTAAAGAGCTGAAAGAACCCAAGAATATGCCAAAACCTTCCTTACCTCAAACTATTTTAAAAATTGTCTACTTGTCCCATTTTTGATTCAGTTAAGAAATAGAGAAATAATGCATTTTATAAAACTAGATCTCTCAACCCAACTAACATCATGCTTTTAAAGAAGTTGATTTTTTTCTTGCTTTCTTTATTAACAACTCTCCTAGCAAAGTCAAAAGATTAAAACAAAATTAGCCCAAGTAATATGAAATATATGTGCCAAAAGTATCTTTACTTTTTCTGTGCTTTAATTAGCCAAGCTCTTTGACGGATGAAAATCATTAAGAAGATAATCCCAAAAGTTCTAAAATTTGTGTTGTAAAACTTTCATAGATGATCCATAGCACAAATAGCTTTACAATGCTGAAGTCACATTCTACATTCTGCCTGGAAGCTAGTACATCAGACACCCAAAAGGCTTTGAATGACAAACATGGATTGAATCTTGAAAAAGATACTGGCCTTGGCAACCTCACCTTCCAGACCACCAGGAGCCTATAACAGAGATGCCATCCTTGAATCTGAAAAGCTTGAGTATGTGCATTCCCAGTGCCCATTGCTGTACAGGTAGAGGGAGCCAAGGCACAGGCCTCTCAAGAATAGCTAATGTTCTTACGAGAGGTTTTTCTCAAGCAAAGAGGATATAAGGTCTCCTGACTGTTTCTCCCAACCTCTCCCCATTCAAGCATTCGGCTATTCACACCATCAGCATGTTTACATGCCTCGCACATGCTATGCACTTTCCAGGGCACTCAAAACCAGAGGTAAAGGTCTTGTAGTTCATGGAACTGAAATTGTTATGGGAGAAAATTGTTAATAAAAAATTAACAAGTGAAAAACCATCAGATGGATGAATGTTATACAGAAAGCACAGAAGATGATGCAATAGTGACAGAGAAGAGAAAGTGGTGGTGGTGGTGTGGGGTAGCTCATGTAACGGAGGTCACAGAAGACCTTTCAGTTGAGCTGAGGACTGAATGAGGAGAGGCATCAGCTATGCCCAAATCTGTTTGCAGACGGATAGTAGTTAGCTTGGTGGGTTAGGAACAGAAGGAAAGTCAGTGTAGCTGGTGCTTAATGAGACCTTTGTCCTCAATTCCATCACCTATGATCGTGCACACTTAAGTCACTCTAATTCTCAAACTTGGGGCAAAACAAGGAAATCTAGAACGCAAAATGTTCTCATGCTTACAAAATCATAAAGAGGTTTTGGGGGTCTTATGTACATAATAATGACTTAATGACCTGATGTCAAGAGCTAGAGCTTTATCCCAGTTTATTCTCTGTACTGACAGATTTGAGCAGTTTCTCAAAGGCACCCAGAGAGAGTTGCGTGGCCAGTAGGGTTAAGGAGGGCAGGATATAACTATGAGAGGAAATGTAACTACCTATCCTTCCTGGACTGTGGCCCATAAAGATAATTCCATGTAGCTTTTCCTAGTTCTTAGGGGGTTTGTACAAGACTTGTACAGGTTATCTTCTTGTATAGTGATCTCTCTCTCTTGCATTTAACTCCCACCTGACTATTACATTTCACCTTATACAAGTTTCTTCAAGATTTGTCTTTCTGCCGCTGTTAATCTATAAGTGACTTTCTGGCAGAGACTCTGTTTTATTAATTGTTCCCTTTTCAGTACTTTACACAGTGCCAGGCACATATTAGATGCTCGGTAAATGATAAATTCCCTGAGATTGACTTTGGCTTTATTAACTATAACTATAGTTATAGCAATGGTACTCAGATAATAGAATTGTTTTGCTTCAGTGTGTAAGAAATACATCCTCAAGGACTTCTGTGCTATCAGCCAAAGAGAAGATAGATTCCCGACAATACCTGGCATAAAGTAGATTTTCTCTGACATGCATTGATAGCATGCTTACACGTCTGGGTGGAGCAATCCATGAACAGATTCCAACAAGAACACTGTCTCAAGGTTATTTCATTCATTCATCAATGTGTTCCTGATATACACACAGACTAAGCTAAGTGCTGCAGGGAAAATAGTGAGTAAAACAAATGTGGGCCCTGACATAATGGAGCTATCGGTCTGGTGTGGAAGGAAGCAGTTAGGACTGAAGTCACCACACATGCATGTCATCTTGATTTAAGTGCTATGACCTAGTCTGAGGGTCACAGAAGGCATCTTTGAGGACCACCTGAAAGACATGGTTAACTTTATGCAAAATGTAGATAGGGTCAATGTAGGCATTTAATCACGAAGGCTTTTTTAGAAACGAGGCCTGTAGACATAGAAAAAATGCCAAAAAAGATAACAACTAAAGTTGCCTCTTGGTAACTGGGGGTGTGGGACTGAAAAAGTATATGGAATTTTCTCTTGCCCATATAATTTGATGACGGTTTTTTATGTCCTAAAGAGTTCTTGTTCAAAGACAAAAAGAAAAGAACACTCAGCAACCTAAAATTGTCTTCTGCAGGCATTCTTTACCATGATTCTGCTACTGAACACTTTACATTGTAGGAACTGGGCTATTTTTAAGGTGTACCAAGAAAAATTGAAATTTACTTTATGAGATGAAAAACAATGCATTGTCCTTATTCTTCATCATTCAGGAAAAACAGCTAAGTGAAATTTTGGTCAAACTTTCCAAAAAGCTTTGGGCTGAGGACAAGCATGGAAAAATTCAAACCCAAAGGAGAAATTTCCAGAAATTTAGAAGCAAGTGAAAACAGGGGGTTATAACAGTTCAGCACTTGCTGCCAGGAACAAAGTATATATGATATTATTTATTGCTAAAAGCTTTTCAGAGAGGCAGCATCTGGTTTTGGTGAGGTCTTGCTTTCCTCCCATCCAGCAGCTGGACCGAGCGCCACAGCACAAGGAGATGAACCAATTTGCCAAGGTGACACAGGGAGTTAGTGACTCTTTCCAGATTAGACCACAAGAGCCCCGACTCCTTGAATGCCAAGACTAAGTCACATGACCAGCAGAGAATTCAACGCCTTTGATCTACTCCAAGTGGATTCTTCAGCTTAATTTTTCTATTTGTGTTAAAATTTTCAAAATCCCAAATAGTCATTCTTTCTCACTTTTCCCCAGTGGGCAGATCAGATATCAACTTAATCCCCCATCAATGCCAAATTTCCCCAACAACTAGGATTTATTCATCTAGATTGAGTGTGCTAATGACAGGGAAAGTCAGAAATGACCATACAGTGTTCCACTCACACTGGGAAGCGGAAGATGGCAATCCAGAGGCTAACTCTGAGCAGACAAGCTGGGCACCCTCCATTGGTCCCTCCAAATGTGCTTCTGTGGGTCAGGGCAAAGCTGATGAAGGTGATGTTAATCTGCCAGGAGAAAGTCTCTTACTTCTCTTTGAGCGTTTTCTCTACCAGTGCTGTGACTTAGAGAGTTTTGGCTAGAGGAGACATACTTTCATTTCTTTTGCATTTGTCTTTCATGCCAACAAGAGAGAGATGGTGCTGTTTCCTAAGCATATTTTCCCACGTCCCAAGATGACTATGTCATTTGAGTTGCAGAAGGAACAAACAAGCAACAGCATACACATATGAAACTTGTTTAATACAAAACAACCAGTCAAATTATCCACTAATCAATCTTGCTCTCTTCCCTCTGTATATGTTGGAACCATCCATTTCAATGTTTAAACTATTGACTGGTGGACAACAATCTAAGGTGATTAGACCAGGGAACAGAAAAGAACAGAGCCAGTTAGCTGTATGAATGGAGTTGGCTCTTTTAAAAGGACCAAGGGCATATCAGGAAGGGAACAAGATCTTCTTTGGTTCTTAGCCTCTGCAATAGCTAGAGGGCAAAGGGTTAGGAGAAAACAGGCAAGCTCATATAGGACACAGCAGCACCCAGAAGACAGGTCAGTTTAGTAACTGAAAAAGTAACCAAAAAACATATGCCCACTCTGAGGGGCAGTAACCTAACTTGACTTGAGTCCAAATGGACAATCCCACTAAGGAACTCATGGCAATTTCAAAGCAAAGGATTTGGGAAATTCCTATTTAAAACTTACTGAAGATATAAAAACAGCATGAACACAGAAACATATCACTTTATGTTTCCTTTATATTACAATTTTCTGTTTTAACTGTAGTGGACAAAATAGGTCCTGATGGAAAGAAGTGAAGACATTTTAAGTAGAAGAAATGCTTTGGTTTACAGAAGCATCCTGTTCATCTTTGACTTATTATTACTCCATGGGACAGCCGTGCTAATTTAAGTACTGGACTGACTCATTCAGCATTTATTGAGTACCTAGTATGAGCTGGCTATTGATGTAAGCTTGAAGGTCATAGTCATAAACAGCACAGACACATCCTTGCTCTCCTTAACTAACCTGGCAGATGGATCTTATTTTAAAGTTCAGTCATTGTTTTCATAAAGTTCAGTTCAAGTTTTGAAAAGAAAACTTCCACCTACGGCAAATCTCAAGTTATTACTGTCTTTCCAAAACTCATTTTCTTAATCCTTAGTCCACTGATATTAAACTCAGTTATCGTCATTCTGGAGGAAAGTGTTATGGCATGATGTCGAGTTCTTTTTTGCTTTGAGAAGATGAGTTTCTAAATAATAAATGTCCAAGGAGTCAACCAGCAGGTCCGGTTATTAAATGCCAAACAAATGCTGCAGCAAAAGCCAGGCCAGGCCAACCGCAAAAGATGCCTCCAAATATTAAACTTAATCCTTCTTCTGCCAAAAAAAAAAAAGGCTAAACTAATATCCCTAGTAAGCACCAGTAAATAATTACACATTCTGGCAATCAAATGCAAATAACCAGGTTTCAAAGTTTGCCCCAGCCACCTGTCCCTAAATCCTTTGCCTGTGCCAACGGGGATCAATCTGACCACAGAGGACACCAGGCAACTGGCCAGGACATAAGTCATACAGGTCTACACTCTGCTTCAGTATAAGCTCCAATCTTTTGTTGTTGGGAGCCAAGCCAGCCATTGAATCTCTTTTAGGGAAAAACTTAAGAGAGAGTCGTTTTACATTTGAGATTCTTCCACTTTCCTTCTTTAACTTTTTGCACTCCCCTCCTCTTACCCCCACTGTCTTGTCTTCTTTCCTTTCACTATTTTTCCCCTACTTTCCCCACAGGGTGAGACACACCCCTTTACATGTATGACCTCATCTCACATACCCAAGAAGCAGCACTGTAATCATCTTATGTTGCAGAAGGGACTCTGAAACCCAAGCCTTGAGCTGATGGAGCTGAACCAGGCCCAGTTAGTCCAGCTGGTCCCAGCGTCCTCAACTACTGGGCCATATTGCCTCTTAATATTTGGTTTTTGGCATTCATGTTTATGATGAAAGTGAACATTTTAGGCTTTTATTAGAAGGGTGTCGATGAAATAGTAAGAATCTTAAACTTCTAGCTCGAGAAAACTTGCCAATTCTCCCTTTATTAACTGTCTTAAAGATGGTAATTAAAGTGGTAATTACTAGGGCAATTTATTAAGGTTTTATGAGCGGACTGCACCAGTTTCAGATCTTTTCTCCATCGTATGTGGAGGCACATTGACAATGGAACAATTTCTAATTAGAGGTTATACTGACCCAAACGAATAAACAAGAAGTAAATAACAATATAAATCTACCCTATAATGTCACAGTAACTCCCTGTACCCTCTCCAAATGTAAGCCACATAAAGTCTTTCTTTCTATTAACATTTATTATTGTTATTCATTTCATGGGTCAGGAAGCACTTTTTAGCGGGCTCAGTTTTTAAACTGAAACTAAACAACTTGATGGAGAGAAAAGCTAAAATATAGCTCCCACAAGATCAACACACCCAATGAACTAATTTATAGGCTGTGATAAATCTGAAGAAATGGTAGGATTGTGCCTGCTCTCCTTTCACCCACACCTCTCCAACTCAACTCTCATTTATGGGTTGTGAAGGCTAGACCACCCACTAAATTTTCTTCAGCTAAATAAACAGTTACAGTTGAGAGAAGTACAAACTTCTTGGCTGACTCTTTTTATATCCACCCAGTGTTAATTCAAGACTGAGTTCCAGGAGGTTACAGACTAAATCCAATAGAATGGAACTGGAACTTAATTAAGCTGTATTGCCAAATGCATGAAATCGTTGTTAGATCTCAACCTGTGTCTACCACCATTCTTTCTCCCAAACAACTCCCTAGTGCATAGAAGTCAATGCTATTTAGATGACAGAGAATAACATCCCATGGGGAAAGAAAAATGCAGCAGCTTATAAAGTCAATTCCACTGGTAAACTGACCATATTGAACAACAGGAAGAGAGTAGACTGGAAGATGAAGAGAAAACGTAACAATAGTCATAAACAGTAGCTGCCTGCATGAAAAGACACATTGGCTTATGCCAAAATAAACTACAAGGAAAGGAAGCCTGTTGTCAGCAGTAAGGCAAAACTGTTTTCTGGATTTGTAATACTTTCCTTTAGGTCTCTATGAAACTCAGATGAGATCTGGGGACAAAACAGTAGCACGTATATTAAGAACCACTGTGCCGAAGATACTGCTTTTTGGTTAAGCCCGTATTATGCTTATAACCTTGGAGCCAAAGTACTCGATGCAATTTCAGTCTGCGCTCTTGAAAAAAAGGTGACTGCCCTCTCCTGGCCACCTTTTATGACACTGTTTGCTTAAGATTAACTGTCTCCATCACCTGTCCCCAACATTCTTTCTCATCTGAGATGTCACAAGCCCCCAATGAAATGGAGCATCTCATTAGTCCTTCCCTCTTCCAGATGTTGAAGACTAAACAGAGAAAACCAGAACTAGCGCCTCTAGAAATGGAACTGGAATCACTCTACTTATGGGGACCCGCCACTGACCATCTCACAATCTCTGCATCCTTCGCTTCCTTTTGGAATGACCACAGCCCTCACCAGTGGGGACTGGACATTACTTTATCAGGTATCCCAGCCTGGTCATGGCCCTCACCTCCCCTTTTTGGCCCTACCCCAATCTTCTGCCTCTATTTCTCAAATCCAGCATCTAGTTGTGCTGGTATCTTTACTTTCATTTGTCTGAGGGCATCTCTAATTTCTGAATAGTCTATTTTTGCAGCTAGAACCATCTATATACATAATCACAGAGAGCTGGAAGCATGTATAAACCCAGACAAAATTTTGCTTTTTTGCAGACCAGAGTTCGGGGTACTGCACCCCAAAGCCACTGGTAAATAGCCCACAAAGAGTCCAAAACATAGACATAAGATACATTATCTGACTTCAGCAAATCTTTTATGTTAGCCATTTGTCTTCAAGACCATTTCTGGCACAAGAGCTTACAAAATTTTGAGTAGGAAAAACCCAACTTGCTTTTCCTATAAGTGATAAAATAATTTTCTCAAGGACTTTCAGAGTAGAGTTTTTATATTTGCCTTATTAATGCTTGAAGCCAACTCATGCTTAATCATTAGAAATAGGGAGGAGGGAAAATAAGGAAGGTAACACACATAAGCTAAATCACAGATAATCCCTAGACCTCTTTAAACAGACACATCCAGAGCACAGGGGAGATAAATTTGGAAGTTTTCAGTGCATAGACATTATTTAAAGCCACAAGAGTAACATTCTACCCAGGCCTTATCTAATAGTGATTTTTCAGCAATCTACTAGCACCTAGAACACAGCTAATATCTATAAGGGATGTGTATTTAATTTTTTTTAATTTTTGCATAGAACTGGGGTGTAGGTCAGAGTGCAGGGGGTGAGAGGATTTACCAGAGACAGAGTGGGGAGCAGCAGATGAGACACAAGAGTTCTGCTGTGCCATGTGGTTTAGTACCCTTAGCAGAGGGTTGAACTCAGGCCGTAGCAGTTACAGCACTGAGACTTAACCCCTAGGCCACCAGGGAGGCCCAGGACTTAATTTTTAATTCTTAACACAAGAGCTTGGATTCCTGCAATGGGAGTAGGGAGTGCTTATGGTGGTGGTGGGTGGGGGTGGGGGGCAAAAAAAATGTGAGGGCTGCTTCCTGGGTCATCCTAACAGAGGTCGAAGTGAAGAGCATAAAACAGCCAAGAGAGCCTACAAGGAAGACCTGAAAGGTGTGAGCAAAGCCAGAAAGTGCAGGAGAACAAGTTAAGAGGGTGGGTAATTAAACAGGTGAAAGAAGATGAAGAAAAAGCATCTGCTACTGAATTTAGCAATCAGGGCAGGATGAACCATTGTCCTGGTGGTTAAGAAGTTTCCACCTGCTGTTCCAACATGACCAATGGAGAACAGACAATTCTCCTAAGCAGTTTTGTAGAAAAATGGGACTAGCTAAGAAAGATAAAGGATCGACAAATTTGTATGTTTATTTTTTTAAAATATGGGGACAGCGCAGAGCATTTTTATGGTGATTCAAATGATTCAGGGGCAAGAGAAAACAGATAACACAAGGAGGGAGGAGGGAAGAGAATTGCTGGGGTTAAGTCCCTAAATAGAAAGCAAGAAGTGGAGAGGTTTGTCTTCCAAACCCGTTGTTAGCTCAACAAAGGCAAAGCATGTGGGCACTTGGTTCTTGAAGTAAGTGGGTAGTTGTGGGAAATTATAGATTCTCTTCTAATTGTCCCCGGGTCTTTTTGTCCTTGGTTGTTTTGCAAGAAAATAGGAAGAAAAGTTATATGCACAAAGGTAGATGTTGAGAAGTAGATGTCAGAGGCTTACAGAGGGAAGTGTGAAACAGTTGCCTAGACAAGCAGGGAAGCAAATGGTCTGGGGTAACATGGGAGCACTGCCACTTTTCAGGCAGGGCCCAGGGAGGTCAGTGGCAGAGCATGTAATGTGAAATCAGTAAGCATGGTGAGCATTTCCTCCAGGTACAGGTGAGGTCTTGAAGGAGAGCTACATGTAACCTGGGTTGAAATTTTGTCAGACAAAAGTATGAGAAAGGAAGAGAAGCACAAAAGTTGATAACAACTGCTATGATCTGAATGTCTGTATCCTCCTAAATTCCTCTGCTGAAATCCTGACACCCAAAGATGCTATTCGAAGGTGGTACCTTTTGGAGGTGGTACCTTTTGGCGTGACTAGGTGAGGAGGGTGGGGCCCTCATGAATGGGGTTAGTGCTCTTATAAAAGAGACCCCAGAGAGCTCCCTTGCCCCTTCCACCACGTAAGGACATACAACAAATGTCTGCCACGCCCAACAGGACTCTCACACACCATGCTGGCACCCTCACCTCAAACTTCCAGAGTCCAGAACTACAAGCAATAAATTTCTGTTGTGTAAAGCTAACCTGCCTGTAGTATTTTGTTAGAGCAGTCCCAAAGAACTAAGACATGAACCCTGTGATAAAGCGTGAGGTAAGGAAGTTTATTTCTTGTGAGCTGCAAATGGGACATCACTTGTATAGGCTTTAAGCAGTTCCCACTTAGCAAACGACAAACCATAGATATTGCAATGGTAGAGTCCACCAACTCTGCCTTCCAAGAGGCTCTCCAGGAGATACTGAGGGAGAGAAAGAGCCTGGGGCAGATTATTACCACATAGCTGCGAAATCATTTGCAAATCATTTTCATCACAGGCCTCTTCCTGGCTTCCTTACCACTCAGATTCTACTATTTCTTATACCTCCTGGAAGAGTCTCGCTGTCTTCCCTCTGTATTTCTGTGTTTTTCTTTGAGCTAGAGGACCAGCCCTTTCAGGCCCATGAACGTGCACAGTCTGGGTGACAAGAGCAGGCAGGCTGAACCTTCCAGCAACTCTGGCTGCTGTCAGGCATTTACGTGACTATTTGAAAGAAAGTGTCAGGAGGATGCTAACCCAAGGTCAAATGAGGTCAGGGCTCTGAATTCCTTAGATATACCAATCTTTTTTGGCAACTAAACCTGTGGGTTCTAAAATAGCATTTTCCATCTGGACTTGTTATTCTGTTTGGCCTCCTGTCCTAGACAAAACCCAAGATCCAGTCTAGGTCTTTGCTCCTCCACCTCAGGAGGCTGCTGTGGATTGTATTTCCAGGCTCCTGTGCTAGCTGGCAGAGTCTGAATAATGGAGATTAAAAGGCTGAAATGAGTTCAGTCAGGTATGACTTTCCCGCTACCCCTTGTCCTGAAAGTCTCAGGGGGCTCTATTTTCTGTCACATGGTCCCTCCCCCACAGCTCCTAGTCTTGCAGGACTAATGACACCACTTACTCCCACTGCTGCTCCATGTCCAGGGGAGCTAACAGCCTCCCCTTGTGGCTAGAATCTGAGTTCCTCACATGTTGTGGGCAACTCTAGCCCACTGACCCTGTGGTGCATCTCCCCTTCATTCAAGTCTCTTGAACCCAATGAGCTAAATTCTGTTTCTTGTCAGGACCCTGACTGATACACCATTTCAGATTCTACCAAGTATGACTTTACAGCTGTACTTAGGTGCTAAAGTTGCTAGACCAGAGGAAGGAAAGGTAAATCCCAAACATATGTAGTATGTCCATTTGTTCATTCATTCACTCATTTATTCACTCTAGGTGGACATTCCAACACCTATGTCTTGTTAAAAGTAGAGCCAGGAGCCTTTAAGAACTGCAGAATGACTTAACAGAGCTCCAAGCCTACACATAGCTTTTTTCCAATTAAAGTCTCACTTCCCAAATCAAAGGATTCTTACAATGCCTAGTGTTTACATTTGCTGAAATCTTTTTCTATTAACTGTGACCCTGAAACTGTAATCACTTTGATGACAGAACTGATATGATATCATAGACAACTGTTCAGCTAGTCATTAGACCATTTGGGAGGTTCTCCTGGTCTAATAAAAGGCCCTGATTTCTGTTTTAGAGAAATTCTTTCTCATACAAGAAATAAGAATTTTAATACCCTTCAAAAAGTTTTCACCAAATGACCCCTTTGATACCTAATTTGTGCTAAATGTCAATAGACTACTAATACAAACTTATATTTACCCAAGATTAGGAGTCTGGCTATAGACGGAGGTCAAAGAATACTGCTGTTAATTTTCAGTGAATTTGCTTAATAATCAACTGTTAGTGACCATATTCCTGTTTCCTTGTTAGAATGTGGGATTCTCAAGGTCTGGAGGAAATCTGTTGCTATAACCAAAGTGAATTCAGGACAAGGTGAAATTCCTAAAGATCTATGAGTCCAATAGATTCTTATCTTAAGGAAAATAACTTTTCAGATTCACAAATGTCACCAGTGATGTCAGCATTAGAGTCAACATTACATTGAGGCTCCAAAAATCTTCACGGGCAGGATACACAGCTATAAAGTCTGGTGAGAAGGAATAAAAACATATTCTTACTAAGAACTCATAAATAGGCAATCTATGGTTCTGTTTAGTGATACATCAAAAATATTTTGCTATGCATGTGCTTTATTACATCTTTTAATTCTCAACTCTATTTACAGATGAAGCAACTGGGGTTAGGTAGTGACTCGGGATCCCATACATGCATACATAGCCCAGTGAAGGAACCTTTATGTGACCTTTGGAAAGTCACATAGCTCTCCTAAGATTTAGTGTCCTGCTCTAACAGTAAATATATTTAAAGATGGGGGGCGGGGGAACCACAGTAGAGTTGGTTAAGAATTTAGGCTGTTCATGGTATTTAATTGCATTGAACCTCTAAAAATAACACAAAATTTGTCACAAAGAGGGGCATCCATGAGCACATTGGATCTTTTAGATGAGTGTCGCATAATAAGGTGTAAAAAGGTATTTAAACAGTCCGTGATATTCTAGAAGTTTCTTCGAGCTCTGAATGTCTACAAAATACCTCAATTTTCAGCAATTTTAAATAAAAGTATTTTAATAATTAAAAAAATATTTCGCTATGCAAAAAGGGGTGAATAAATGGATTATATATGGGCAACTTTTATTTTTTTTAAACTTTTTGCTCCTAAGAAGTATGGTAGGGTGAATAAAACCAAACAAATCACAGTTCAAGTTACTTCACTAATCTTGGGCATGTAATT